ACGCACACGCACACACGCACACACTCACACACTCACACACACGTACCGATGAGAATCCAGAACAAGTCTAGGTCTAGGACAACTAGCGTTATGGCGTGGCCTCATTTCCGAGCTTTTGAGCCTCTGTAGCTCTAAAACGACTCATAGGATCGGGTTGTGCCTTGGCAACTTTTGATCAGCATGACTCGAAGTACAAAATGGCACAGTTTCATCGAATTTGGCCGGGACCGAATTTCCCCGTGTTTTGTGCGGGGTCCTTTGATTATATACGAAAAATGTAACAAATGATAATCTTCAACTTTTACAAAGGGAGCATCGACTGTAAATTGACCAACCCGCACTGTCCACTTTACGATGGATGAGTTTCCGTCGAATCCTGGCGTGAACCTGGTAACACAATGGAAAATGCATCTACGTTGGATAACGCTAGCTTCGTAGGAGGTTCCGGTAGCACCGGTTCGACGCCTGACTGTACGGTCGCCACTTTTGGTTTGCCGGATCCAACCAACGCCCAAGCGGTTACTTCAAATTTGTAGTGGGTTAGTGTGCCTAAGAAAACGTTTAAATGGATTATAGTCTTGTTTTTCTTTATTGTACCTTGATTTTGACTTTTTACTATATATTTTTTACAACTACCTGAAGATGCTCCACTTTGGTTAATAACATATCGGCTGTAAAGTTTTCGACGCGCAAAGAATCCGGAATGTCTTTAATCGTGTATTTCAGTTGACAATGTGTCAATATTCCGTTCGTCTCTTTAGGGGGACTCCACTTAACCGTTAGCGCACGATCACTGATATCTTCAAATTGTAAATTCTCCACTTCTTCAGGTAATCTGTAACAGATCATAAATATGGCTTTCAGGCACCACACTGCAAACGGACGCGGCAACCATCCGGAAGCCATGAAGACTAAAGATCATAAATATATAAAGATGAATAATGTCTACAAGAATAATTTAATTCTTATTCATTTATAATATAAAGAGATTGAAAGTACGTAAAAAATGATGTTTCAATCGGAATCATCTTTATTAATCTAGTAATATAATTATTAATTCTTAACTAGTTGTTGCGTAGGTAAACGTACCATCTTCACGAGTGCGAACTTGGACGGCCGAGCTTCTTTCACCGTCGCCTGGATCGGTGAAGCGGAGCACCGTGATATTGCGACGGAGTGTACTTTCTTAAACCTGTCACAATGTGGCGTTCTGCTCGGCGAGCGGATCGAATAAACTCGGCGGCACAGTCACCGATTTGTATTCGGTCGCTTCTTCTAAAATTGCTGTCGACCCAGGCTTGCAATTTGTATCCCTGATTGATACCATTGATCTATCGAGGATTCGGTGGCTTCCACCAAACTTTCACTGCCGTTGAATCAAGTGCTTTTGCTCTTACATTTGTAGGAGGTGCTTCCGGGACTGCAAAAAATTATTTCTTTTATCTTTAACTGATTTATAACACCAGGGTAATATTCTAGCGTGTCGATCCATTATGTTTTAGTACCGCGTAACAGTTTAGAATTATACAATTAAACCTAAGAAATAATACCCTAATAACTGCACCGTGTGTGCATATCGATCACTCGGCTGTAGTTTCCTCAATTTTTCCAGAACCGCTGCCACGCCGTTCGCAAATGCGACCTGTTCCTCCAGTAAACTGTCGATGACTTGACGCAGACGCAACGCGGTAACGTCGCGTACTTGGAGATATCGATTGAAAGTCTCAGTTCGCTCTTTATCTCATCTTAATCACTGGTCAAGCGGTCCAACATAGCTCAGAGCTTGCGACTTCTTCGGGCGTAATTTTCTTAATATGCACCCATCTACGAAAAGCTTGTGTTTGACTGGTTATACGTTAACGAGGCATTCAATGCGCGCGCACACAGTCGCAGTTTTCCTGTACAAATTATCGCTGTAATTTACAATCTGTCCAGCACGAAAGAGATAATATTCTCAAGATTCCTGAAGCTCTCGGAATCTGTAGGGCTCGGTTCGACTCCGTCGAATCGAGAGATGCAACTGCGCAAGAAGGTGAACAAACGGTAAACACACGCTTTCCTCGTACACATGTTCAGACAGTACTTCCGCCTACGTTGTAAGTTAAATTGTGACACGTGTTCCACTTCATTTCACGAATGACCCACTCGACATTCCGCTTCATAATTTTCGCCGGCAGAGTTTTAACGGGAAACTTACATACTAGACTGACGAATCTGCATTTCATCACCACGGCGTTGTACAAGTAGGGACTTGTTGACCCTCTTAACTGTACAGAGTTTGCCCAGGCACGACTTGCGCTTGACCGCGACACCTGCGTGGAGTAAAATTCATCTCTGTTCGTGTGTACAAACAAATTCATTAGTTCCAGCAAGAGAAATGAATTTATTACCTTACTCGTACTCCTTTTACTGTGCAGCTTACTCCACGTACCGTAGACCAGCCTTTGCAACGTCACATTAACACGTTTGGATATTTGGCGTGGAAACCTAACCTATTTCATCGAGCGGAACAACGATTAGATAAGTCAACACACACGTATAGCGCGACGATACACCGAATGCACTGTTATAAAAACATTTTTACCTACGAGGGAAGAATTAGAATTGAAGAATCGAGTCCACGTCGATTCCGCTTCTCGTTCAAACTCGGCACGACACTCTTCTTCTTCTTCTTCTTCTTCCGGTTGTTTGGCTCTTGGTCGCTCTACGCGAACCGATACGGCCATGGCTATCCAATAGGCAGTGGTGTGGAGATTACAACAAACGGAAGGCGTCTCAGGGGGCGCCACAAGTAAGAGCGGTAAAGTCAAATAAGCAGGCTGGCACTTTTAAAGGATGCTAGGAGGAGTCTGCAGATCTTGGGAGAAGGACAGACGATAATAGGGGCGATATCAGACACGGGGTGATCGGGATGTTTAGAGTTCACGAAGTTGAGGAAAGGAGCCATGGATCTTTTATATAGTGGACAAACGAAGATTACATGGTTGACATCTTGAGAATCGTATCCACAGGGACATGAAGGAGAATCAATCATATTTTTCCTAAACAGACTGAAATTGAGGTTGCAATGGTTGCTGCGTATCCTGTTAATTAAAACAATTTCCGATCTTTTGAGCCTGATTTTATGGAACCAAGGTTTAGGGGCCGTAGAATGAAAGTATAGATGATAAAATTTACCCTTGGGAAGACTTTCCCCTTGGAAATAGGAGTTGCTGACTCTGTTCGAAATTTCCTTAGCAATCGAGAAACAGTCGGTGTATGGGATGTTGGCAATATGAATTTCTTTGTTGAGAGTGGCTTCACCAGCTAGGAAGTCCGCCATCACGTTTCCCTCAATGCCCCTGTGAGAGGGGATCCAGGCCATAATTAATTCCACCCCCAAGACAGTTATATGGCGAGCTAAATTTCTAAGGTCGGGGACCAGATCGCCCCTGACAAACGGGTCCATTGAGGTTAAAGCCTCTAACACACTGCGCGAATCAGAGAAAATGACGGCCTTACTGACTACGGAACGGTTGTCAAGAATCAATTCAAACGCCTTTTTAATGGCCATAGCCTCAGCAGTAAAGATAGAAGCAGAGTTATCCAGCCTGCAAGCCACTCTGATGTCCAATTCCGGAGAGTAAACTCCCAAGCCTACTCTGAGCGACTCCTCACACCCCCTCCTTGAGCCGTCCGTGTAGAATGTAACTGCCCCCGCGGTTAGAAGCTCTGTCTCGCTCCTGAAAACGGAGCCCAATGAGATGTCTCTCGGAAAACCCCCTAAATTTAGGTCAACACAGGGCGGTCTGAAGAGTAGGGTCTCAAAGTCTTGCAAAAAGCAGGGAAGACTTTTTGATTGATGAAGCTTCTCCAGGTCCCCTTTGATTTTAATATACGTTTTGAAGATGGGAATGTTACGAAGAAGCCAGGCTCTACGACTCGACGAATTAGCCTTGTCCACCACCGCCTCAAAATCTTCCAGAACTGTGCACTCAGATCGAGAGAAACACTTGCACAGAAACTTGGTATTGAGATATTCGATCCTTGCGTGAAAGGGAGGCTCCTTAGCCTCGCCCAAAATAACATTAATTGGAGTAGATTGCCGGTAGCCAAGAGCCGCCCTAAGAGCTCTGTTCCTTAATTTGAGGAGCACTCCAATCCTAGTATGGTTTTTCTGGAAGAACAAGACTTGGTGACCATAATCAATGGTGCTCCTCATTACTGCCCTATAAATTTTCAGAAGAATGAGGGGATGGGAACCCCACCATATCCCTGCCAAGGAAGCAACCATGTTGCATATGGATCTGCATTTACGGATCAACCATTCGAGATGAGATTTACCAGAAAAGCAGTGATCTATGATGATTCCTAAGAATCTATGCTCCTTGACCAAAGGAAATAGAGAACTCCTCAAGCCAGTGCTGCTAGATTTGGCCGGGCTACCCGGCCACATGTGCCGACGCATGCGCTTCAGACGTTAAATGCAGTAACGTATTAGAGATACACAAGCCCCTGTGGACATAGGTACGCGCGCGCGTGCACACTCTCTCTCTCTCTCTCTCTCTCTCTCTCTCTCTCTCTCTCTCTCTCTCT